TGCCTTACTTCCTCCATCCCCTGTAGTCTAGTAGAAGACTGCTGTGGTAATACAGCACTGGGCTGGCAATCAAAAAGCCTAGATTCTGGGTCTGCTCCCTCTCAATATCACACTCCTAAGTACACTGATGCTCTCGAGCCCAGTTTCATCTAGAGAATGGGGTTTGGAATTTTAAGAATGTTGTACTTAGGAAATGAAAGCTCTCTCATAGAGGTGCCTCACACTGGCTACACATCAGAATAACCTATGAGCTTTTAAGAAATACAAATGAATGCCAGGCCCCATCCAACATCAACTAAATTGAAATTTCTGGGTGTCGGATTCAGTCATGGGTATCTTTAAGAAGTTAAACAGGTAATTCTCATATATAGCTTGGGCTGAGAACCTCTGCATCAAGGATAAAACATAAATCCCAGGAGAACTCTTTTAATCTCCTCTGATTTATTAAGAAGAGTAAATTTATGTAAAACAGACATCAGACTGAGGCCATTTTAGGCAAGCCTGTTTGGCAGTCTACCTACCTTTTTGTACAACCCCAGGGTTCCAATTTTAAATACCACTGCCATAAATCCTATATAATAAAAGGCTAATATGCAAATTGTCCCCTCACCCAGGAGTTCAACCAGGGGGCGGGGCCAACCGCCTGTGACCCTCTCCCGGTTGGCCCCCCAATCCCGATCGGTGGGGCCAGCCGGATCCCACCCGTGCACAAATTCGTGCACTGGGCCTCTAGTAAATAAAAAAAAACCACTGCCCTATATGTGCATGTCCATTTTCACCTACTTTTAAAATACAGTAAAGGGGAGAAGAATGAACAGTTGCCCACATGCTTTATAACTTTTCATGTCTTTAAACAGTTAAGTCCTCTTAAATTTACCTTAGTCCCATGCTGCCACTTCCTTGCTATATTCAAAGTACTAGTCATCCATTTGTAATTCAGTTCAGAAAGGTTAGTAAAAATCAGCTTACCCAACAGGTTTGAGTAAACCCAACATTCTCCTCAGAACACAATCTATTGTTCTGAATCAGGTGGCTAGAAATCTAGTATTTAAAACATGTCAGAAAAGTGTTTGAAGCCCTAATAATTTTCCTTTAATATGGACAGGAATGCCATTGGTTTTTAATTTTGCTACTGGTTATTCAAGAATGCAATGCACAACCTACTCAAAATAAGATGGAAGTTGTTTCCGACCACCTGTGCCTCACCACTTTAGTTAAGGTAGTAACTAAAAGCAAAAACATGCACTAACACAGCAACTCTTAGCTCTCAAGCACCTGTTTTTACCTTAAATGTTATCAGCTTTCCCACTACCATACAGTGTACTGAATCCCCCAGAAGTTCAACCTGCCCCAATTTATTCCACAATGCCAGAGGGAGTGGGTGATACTCTCCCTAGATTTTGAAATTGGGTTATAACCAATCTCTCTGATCAGTGCATTTCACTGACATCAATACACACATATTAGGTTGAACCACATGAAACTGCAGATATCTATTTCAGACCTACAAGAATAGCAACTGCTTATGTTCAACCACAGTTTAATAATACTCTTAATATTTTCTACCCTTCTGTTTCATTATTTAAAAACAAATGCTGGTCATGCTTTTGAATTTGATTTAATGACTGAATGAATGAATGGCCCACTGACAAGTATTTCTAACAAGCTTTATTTCTCAGCCTCAATATTGCAGGATACTTCATAAGCGTATCACTTATGTATGACTTAACCACACATATTTACACATAAGTTCTGCATCCATCACTCTTAAAGCCAAATTTAGTACACATCTGTCCATTCTTTTCTTAGCCATATCCTCACCAAAAAAGAGGGTGGCAGATCAATGCCCACTGAGACAGCCCAAGTTCTCTTAAAGCTCATTTGCCATTAAACAAATGCACGAAGAGGTCTCAAATAATGGAAAATAGCTTGGTCATGTTCTTGCCTTCTCTTTATTCAAAGGTAAACAAAACGGTACATACACTCTACTAAGGTCTGACATACACCTCTCAGGTCCTTTTTAATCACTAAATTATAGAGGGAAAGCATAACTCATATTTCCCCATTTCTTCCTCTTTTCAGACTAAGAGCTGAATAAAATTATGTAGTCTGTTTGTCCTCTTTACTCAGTTCCATGTTCTCTATTTAATAAAACAAGCAAAAATGTCCCTAACCCATCTGTCCCGCTCTCCTAAAATGAATTCACCTCCTTAGCAAAAATAGCTAAAAGCCCAGCAGGTGTGGCTCAGTGGTTGAGCGTTAACCTATGAACCAGGTCGTCACAGTTTGATTCCCAGGGGAGGACACATGCCCAGGTTGCAGGCTCGATCCCCAGTGGGGAGCGTGCAGGAGGCAGCTGATCAATGATCCTCTCTCACCTCTCTCTCTTCCTCCCTCTCTAAAATCAATATAGCCTTGGGTGAGGATTTAAAACATATCCTGAGGAATATTTTTCCTTAAAGACTCACTAGGGCACTGTTTAGTATTAAGCATTTATTAAAAAAACCTAATGAGACAAGAGACAAAGGTCAAATTCAGTTTTGTTTTTTTAATAAATAGAAAGTTCTTGGCCGGGTCTCTGATTTCTCATTTACATTAAGTGCAGGCCAACTGGTAGAGATTTAGGTATTCAGTTGAAGCCTCAGCATTCTATGGCAGAGCCCTTACTTCACACTGAATATAACAACTTTTTATTTTAATCCTCACCCAAGGATATATTTTTATTGATTTTTAGAGAGGAAGGGAAATATCAATGTGAGAGAAACATCAATTAGTTGCCTCCAGCCCCAACTGGGATTGAACCTGAAATCTAGGTAGTCCAACCAGGGATTGAATCTGCAATCTTTTGGTGTATGGAACAAAGCTCCAAGCCAACTGAGCCATCCGGTCAGGGCTGAATAATATCTTTAGAGTTCAGCATGTGGGAGGCATTTTCTAGCTAAAACTTATCTCATTTAATCTTCACCATAAGGTGATTAACTCAAGAGTTGTAAGGATGCCTCCCAGAATTGCTTCTCAAATACACATACTTTGAAAATACATTTCTGGGGGTAGGGCAGAAGCACTGGTATTTTTAAAACGCTCACCCAGACGTTCTGATGAAAAACCAGGATCCAGAATCACTGTTAGTCATATTTAAAAGCAGCAATAACCTAACTCAAAAATAACCCAGCAGCACAGCTGGCCCTCTCCAATATACTATACACCACCACCACCACCACCACCACCACCACCACCCTCCCCCTCAACACACACACACATATACACAAAGACCTTGGAAAAACTCCCTCAAATCCTGAGATTCCACTGTCCACTGACCTGCTGCTGTCACAATTCCCAATTGCACACTTTCACCCGTCTCCCATTTTTCCTCAAACTATTTCTTCCCATCTTCCATTCAATCTCATTAAATATGAGGGCAGCCGGAAAGAGTTTAGCCAAATTGTAACAGTTAACCAAAATGGCAGCATAACTCCCATCACTTGAATGTCCCCTCCCAAACCAAAAAAATTAAAATGCAAAGATTACTTTCAGTATTTTCAACTCAAACCATTTCACTTATTTTCAAAGTGATTTTTAAAAAGTACTCCACAAATTTTTTCCATACAATTGTTTTGGTAGCAACTTATGTGAAATGGTTAAGAGCAACAAACAAGAAGTCCATTTAAGAACACAAATAAGGTATATACACTGACCCAAGTATCAATAAGCTACAACATACTATATTATTCAACAGTGCCCTTTCCACACATTTCTCTCTGGCTCTTTTAATTGTACCAAGTTTTTCTACTATGAAGGAATTTAAAGTTTATCTTCTCCCAACAAGGCAAAAACTCATAGTATTAATTCCTCTAACTGAAGAACCCAATTCAAGACCCCTTCCACATTCAAGTCCTCCGATTTAAATTTCAATTTAACTTTAGTTTTTAGGACACCACAAAACTCCACTATTTAATAGTACCTAGATCAGTATGTCAAGAGAAAGGTACTTAACTGATCCCTTCTAAGAATTCTTGGGGGCAGGCTTCCCACTATCTCACAATATAAGTTGTAAAAATGGGTTGGTAGCAAAATAAAAATTGATTCAAGATTAACGCATATGCATAATAGAGCCAAAAATCTAGAGAATTCCTGTTTCTGGGGAAGCTCATTCACTATGGACATGGGGAATGTAAAAGAGATCATACTGTAAGAGGTACAGTGAATTAAGTGAATCACATGGCATTATTACATGGAGACTTGATCCAACAAGACCACATTGGTGGGTTAGCAGGGGTGGGAATTCAGTTTCTTGAGAACCAGTTTTAGAGAATTCAATTGGAATAAACAGGCAGCAGGAAACCTATCTCTAGTCCCAGTTCTATAACCATGTGGCTGTGTGAAAACCCTCTGGATCAGTTTTCTCAACCCCAAAACAGGGGTTAGAATTAGATCATCTTTTTTATCTTCCCTGCTCAAATACTCTGTTTATTGGTTCTACAGACGTGATCTTTCCCCATACATTTGAAGACAGTAGTGACCTATATATTTAATGCTAAAAGAAATATATGTAGATAAACATTTTCTGTCCTTCAACATCCTTAAATAAGAAACAGATTTGATTCTATTTTAGGTTAGGGATTACTCACCAAAGTGAAAGCTAGAGAATTAAGTGACTTATCAGCAGTTAGCTAAACCAGAACCTTTTTCCTAGCTGCATTTACTAAGGCCTCAGGTAATGGTTTACAGAAAAGAATGCTTGAGAGTAAATCCACATAGTATGACCTATTTTTTTTTTTTTGCTACTAAAGTTGCATATTTGGACCTAAGCTTTCTGAACAAAGAGGAGGCTGGAACATCCGTTGATAGTCATTTATATAACTTTGTTACTCTTTGTTTTGCATTAGTCTGTCAGAAATAAAAAGTTCTATTTCTTCCTTTAAATGTTACTTCTAGCAGGCCTATTGGTATCCTAAACTTCAATTTTCTTATTTAATATTCCTCAGAATAAAGAGAACAGCTCATTTTAAACAAGAAGTTTATTTAAACAACAAGACACTTGACTTGAAGGGAAAACTATCTAGGATTCATTTTTTTAGAGTAATTTATCCCTACTTAAAGACAGATTGCCCTACATGTAACAGCTACGTACAAAAAAGTTATAAAATTGTCCTTGGTTTTACAATGATAAATGAAAAACATTAAAATTCTCCAATCAAACAAGGTATGCAAGAATTTTTATGTTGTTCTTTTTTTGTTAAACAGTGAGAGCAAAATAACTTACTGGAATATAAAGATAAGAGCTGGATGAGCATGCCACTAATGGAGAAAGGGGGTGTTTTCACAGAACCAGTATTTTTTCCCCATCCCATCTCCATTTGATGTAGATCAAAACATACCATTGGCCATTTAGTTAAAAAAAAAAAATGCAAATGCTTGTGCACATACATCCGTTACTTTATGTACAATAAAAGAATGGGGGAGGGGAAAATGAAAGAATAGAGAAAACTATACTGTAGTAGTCAGATGTGTTGAAACCAAATTGCAGTTTTCTAATTGAGAATGTCTTCTTGGTCTGGAGGAACAGAGTCTGGAGTACAGCAGCAGGCTCCCTTTTTAGTAGACCCCTCCCGTCTGCTGCTGGAACACATCAATGGTATCTTCATCCTCCATTTCCAACTAGCATAAAGGAAAGAAAGCCATTGATAGTTAAAATTTATAACTATCAGACCTGAATATCCTGAAAAACTGCACAAGTTTCACCCACTTCTAGTGTTGGTTATTTTAGACATCCAAGACACTAACTTAGTTAGCATCCCAGCCTTAGGTTTTAGTAATTTTTCACTTGGTATTCCTTTTTTAATGAAGATTATATTAGAGAACTTAGCTTTTAAGTTAAAAACTGAACATATCTATGAGTTAAATCATCTCCTTCGATCACTGAAAATAAGAGTGATGCATGTAAAGAATCTCACTATGTTGTTTAGAAGAGCAAGACTGGAAATAACCTAAGTATCAACAGAAACCCAAAGAAATACTATACATTCATAATGAAATACCACATAACTATTAAAGAATAAGCAAATTTACATGTGCAGAAGTAGAAATATCCCTAGAATACTAAATACCCCTAGAATACTAAAAACAACATTTAAAAACTAGGCAACATTTGTGTTTTTAAGTGTGTGTGTGCGTGCACATGAATGTATCCTTGCCTATGCACAAAACAGTGGTTGCCTCTATGCAGTAAGGAAAGGGATCGGGCAAGAAGAAACTTGTGTTGTTGTTAAGTTAATTTCAATTTTAAAATGCTATTCACAAATTAAGTTTGCAAGTTTTACTACCCATACGTTATACACAAAACAACCATGTTGATAATAGGAAGGTTTTGGTACATATGGCAACACTGTAAACTGCAGGAGTGGGGAATCTTTTTTCTGCCAAGGGCCATTTGGATATTTATAACATCATTCTCAGGCCATATAAAATTATCAACTTAAAAATTAGCCTGCTCTGTTTGGTCAAACATTTAATTGACTCACCCCTAATGCCTTGGCAGGGCCAGACCAAATGATTTCTCCAGCTGTATGTTCCCCACCCCTGCTGTCAAGTAAATAATCTTTGTAACAGTTTATTATGCTGACAATTACCCTTAAAAATTTCTTTCTAAAAACTGGTAATTTTGAAAATAAAACAATCTTGAGCACCTAAAGACAAGAAACAGAACTGTTTCTAACAAAGTTCAAATATACTCAAAGTAGAGCTAAGGCATTAAAATATTAATAACTGCGTCTCAATTCCCTTTTTGTAAAAAGGCATAGCATTCAGTTATGAGAATGAAATGAGTTGAAGCAAGTATTTAACAGAATGATGGGCACATAATTATACTGCTATTAAAATTGGTTGATAAGATTTTTTGATTTATTACAAGTCTTCTATTTAATATTGGGAAAACAATTCTAAAACAAGTCAATTTCATTCTAAAATGAATTCAATTCTAAATTCATTTGAAGATTTTGTAATGCAGGTCTGAAAAATCCTCCTCACAGTTTAGTATTTGCAACTAGCATGGTAGACAAGCCTTAGAACTATTTTCTGGTGGGGGGTGAGGGAGACAGAAAATACATTCTAATCATCAGAGTTTTGCTAAATGAATTCTTTTTATTCTTTTAAAAACATCAATTCAGGCCCACCCAGGGATGCAAAAAAAAAACACACAACCACAACAAAACCACAAAATAAGACAAAAAACCCCACACACAACCAAACAGGTCTTCAGCCTATCTACTGTAACAAAATTATTGGCATTTTAAATTTTATAGTGAAACTTTAAATGCTTTTAAAAGATAAAAGAGCTTTTTCTCTTTCATCAAGAGAATTTAGCTCGCCCTAGCCTGTTTGGTTCAGTGGATAGAATGTCGGCCTGTGGAATGAAGGGTCCTGGGGTTCAATTTCGGTAAAAGGCACATGCCCAGGTTTCAGGCTCAATCCCCAGTAGGGGGCGTGCAGGAGGCAGGTGATCAATGATTCTCTCTCATCATTGATGTTTCTCTCTCTCTTCCTCTCGGAAATCAATAAAAAAAATATATATTTAAAGAGAATTCAGCTCCACCTTGTGGTTATGGACTATAACTGCTTCTTAGAGACTCACCAACGGAATTTATTCAAAATCTTCTCAAGTATAACTCATAGATAAGTCAATTTTTTTTGAAGATTATCAAGGAAGCCACAATCTTGATGTGCTGCTTCACTCACACCATATTTATCACTTTCTGGTTTTTATGGCATGATAAAAAATTTCAAAAATATTCAAAGTGGAATTCTTAACTGGAACTTGAAAAGGTAAAAAGAAACAAAGAGCTTCTTACAATGTGACAGACCAACTGCCCTGATAGGTAAAGAGATACAGGGATCAGACAGCATGACCTTTTTTTGTTGTTGTTAATCCCCACCTGAGGACATTTTTTTCCATTGATTTTTAGAGTGGAAGGGGTTGGGGGAGAGGGAGGGAGCGACTGGAGGGGGAAGAAAGAGGAGGGAGAGAGAGAGGGAGGGAGGGAGGGAGAGAAGAGAGAGAGGGGGAGAGAGAGATATAGATACATCTGTTACATTGACTGGTTGCCTCCCACACACTGGGCGGGGATGCAGGATGGAACCTGCATCCAAGGTACATGCCCTTCACGGGGCCAACACTCTAATCACTGAGCCACGTGGGCCAGGGCAGCATCACATTCTGTAGTGAGGGTCTGGAAAGCCACCTGTTGTCAGCCCCCACTCTCAAACTAAGCTATCAAGAGACTTGCAGTTGTCCTGCAGGTATGGCTCAGTGGTTGAAGGTCAACCTATGAACCAGGAGGTAACAGTTCGATTCCCAGTCAGGGCACATGTCCAGGTTGCGGGCTTGATCCCCAGAGTGGGGCAAGCAGGAGGCAGTCTATTCAATGATTCTCTCTCATTGATGTTTCCATCTTTCTCCCCCTCTCTCTTACTCTCTGAAATCAATAAACATTCTGAAGAAAATGACAATAAGAAAGAAATGGGTTAAAGTAACTAAATGACCTATTAGTTTTACTGAGTGATAACCAGATATTTTAAAACCAGTGGCATTTCCTCAATCTATTCCTATTTTTTTTTCTTTCTGTTCCCCCTTGATCATCTTTTACATAGCTTTGAATTGTGATAAAGAACTATATTTCAACATCTAAAAGTTCATAAATAAAGCTGTTAAGCAAATTACCAAAAAAACATTGATTTTTCTAGTTAACAGAGATTTTTACCTGTGCAGGTGTGTCTGTTTCATTGATTGGCTGCCCGTCAAATCGGAATCTGATCTGCCTCATTGACAAACCCTGTATAAGAGAGTTTAAAAGCATCTTACTGCAAACAATAATAAAACTATATGCATATTTAGCCACAAATGTGTTAAATGAGACATGAATACATTTGCTACCAATGTTTCTATGAGTAAAAAGATTTGGGGTGACTTTCACTTTCTTTAAACTATGTTTGATTTTCTTTGGAAAAGTTTTTAAAAGGTCTTCTTTTAAAAAAAGCTGCACTGCTTTTGAGACCATAGCTAATCCGACCTTGAATAGATCATACTTTGAGTTAAACTGCATTTAAATAAGATACTGAAAGGAAATTTGAAGTAACCGATGCACACAGCAATATTCCTCAGTGCATGTTAAAGAGATCAAGCATTACCTTCCTGAAACAGGAGTGGGAAAAGGGGGAAAGGAGCAAAGCATCAAAGCTGTTGATAACTGCAGCCAAATGAAGACAAGATAGAAAAATAAAGTATCTTTGGAGGTATGGCATAAATATATTAACTTGAAAGATAGCTTTCTAGAAAGCATCTTACAAAGTCACTCCAATATCATGCTCAAATTATAAATTATAATTGTTACACAAAAGCCATACTTCAATGAATATATTTTAAATCCTCACCTGAGGATGTTTATATTGACCTTTGGGGTTTTTTAGAGAGGAAGGGAAAAAAAAGGAGAGGTAGAGACAAACATCTATAAGGCTGCTTCCCACTGGGACAGGATGACACTCCAATTTACTGAGTGTAAATACATACCACTTACAGACTAGCCCTTGCCCTTGTCTTGAATACAAGCAATCCTCCATCAGGTAGGTGAAATTCCTCATGACTTTTAATTTTAATTAGCAATTACAAAAGGAACCAAGAATTCAATGCCAAGCATTAATTACCAAGTTTTACATATTTAAAAACACTCCACTGAAGACTGTGCTTCAACAAAATATTAAGCACCTTCTATATGCTGGGTTCTTCCTTCACTACATCCATGAGTAAGGTCGTAAAGACAATGGTGCAGCCATTCAAAATAAGAGGGGGGAAAGGCAGGGACAGAAAATAAGCAAACTATATTCCTTTTTTTTTAATCTTCACCAGAGGATTTTTATTGATTTTAGACAGAAACATCAATGTGAGAAACATCCGTATGTGCCCCGACCAGGGACTGAACCCAAAACCTTTTGGTGTAAGGGAAGATACTTCAACCAACTGAACCACCCAGCCAGGACTATTCCTTTATTGCCACCTGTTTATATACTTTTCTTTTTTTTCTTTCTTAACCCCTCGAGTGCCGGGGAGTGCAATCGCGCTCCTCCTGTCTTTCGCCAAAAGTGCCGGGAGCGCTATCGCGCCCCTCCTGCAATTTTTTTTTCTACTAGTATTTTATACTACAATCAGCAAACAATATATGTCAAAGATGAAAACAAATGTAGTAAAGGTTTCCTTAAGTTTTTGAATATGTAACTTCATTTACTTGCGATTCATAATTTTTTTCCTAAACTGCTGTAAAATCAGCAAAAATGCCTTGGCAATTTTAGCATAGTTCCTAGGATATTGGTTGGCACTCAAAGGGTTAAATATATTTTCATTGATTTCAGAGAGGAAGGGCGAGGGAGAGATAGAAACATCAAAGATGAGAATCACTGATTGGCTGCCTCCTGCATGCCCCCCCACTGGGGATTAAGCCCACAAACCAGGTATGTGCCCAGGACCCTTCAGTCGGCAGGCCAACACTATCTACTAAACCAAACTGGCTAAGGCTATATGCTTTTATCAATAAAAGATTTTGCTATAGAGCAAAAGTCCAAAATTCAGAAAACTTGTCTTTAAGATTCCATAAGCCATGTAAATTCAAACAAGGAATTTACATTAAACCAGTACTTGAGCTCCTCTTCTGAATAAATCTCATCCCTGAGCTTTAGAGTTGTGCCTGAAGAGTTGTATAAGCTTATCTCTTTGGGTCCATTTTCTCATCTCACAAAAATGAATTGAACTAAACCAATAAACCTGTGCCCTCTGAAACCACCTGACACTCCATGAAATAATCTGTAGGGTAAATCCACACTACAGTGGGAAATATGCTCTCAATCAGTTAGCTGAAGACTATGTGGCTGACATAAAGTAGGCAAACTCTAATTCTACATGTGAATGAACTACTTATGTAGGAACCAACCTCTGGAAATACTACATTGAATGCTCTCTATAACATATTTGATATGCCAGGTATTGGACTCTAGGCTCTAGAGAAATAGTGATCAAAAAGGCCCTATGCTCATGGAGCTTGCATTTCAGTGGAGAGACAAATATAGACATCGATCAATGAAAAATATCAAACTGAATGAGAGGACTGAATGCCGGAAAAAGAAGCTCTTTGAATTAATCAGAGAATCTCCAAGGAAATAACTTAGCAAGACTGGAATAAAATGGCTGAGGGCTCAGCAATAGCCAACAGAAATATAATGTGAGCCACATATGTATTTTTAAATTTTCTAGTTGCCACTTGAAAAAGATAAAATTTTAATAAAATATTTTAGCCCTAACCGGTTTGGCTCAGTGGATAAAGTGTCGGCCTGTGGACTCAAGGGTCCCAGGTTCGATTCCGGTCAAGGGCATGTGCCTTGGTTGCGGGCACATCCCCAGTAGGGAGTGTGCAGGAGGCAGCTGATCGGTGTTTCTCTCTCATCGATGTTTCTAACTCTTTATCCCTCTCCCTTCCTCTCTGTAAGAAATCAATAAAATATTTTTAGAAAAAAAAAATTTTTAATTCAAAATACTATTTCAATATGTATTCAACATTTTAAAAACTAAGCTACTTTACTTTTCATACTGAGTTTCCAGACCTGCTATATATATTGCATATTACCGCACATCTCAACTTGGAGTAGCCACATTTCAAGTGGTAAATAGTTACATGTGGTTTGTGAGTACTGTATTGGACAGCAAAGGTTTAGTTAGAGAAGAGAATTTGCTGATGGCTTATGAGTTAGGAAGCATCATCAAATATGACCCTAAGGCCCAGCTGGGATAGCACAGTGGTTGAGCATCAATCAACCTATGACCCAGGAGGTCACAGTTCAATTCCCCGTTAAGGCACATGCCTGGATTTCGGGCTCAATCCCAAGTGTGGGGCATGCAGGAGGCAGTCGATCAATGATTCTCTCTCATTTATGTTTCTATCTCTCCTTCTCCCTTCCTCTCTGAAATTAGTAAAAATAAATGATGACCCCAAGGTTTTGACCTCACAACTAGATGTTGAATATTGCTGTTTACTTAGTGGGGACACCAGAGAAAAAGATTTCTAGAAGTAAAATCAAGAGTCCTCTTTTGGATGTTCAGTTTGAGATGCCCATTATACATCCACTGAAACTCCAGAGTCAAGATATCAAGTGAGTTCATTACAAAGTAAATATGCACATTCAATTAATCTTTACAGGAAATCCTTGGTCAAGAATTTTCAACTGCCAATTCTTAGTCTTTTGAGTCTGACCCACACTTAAAAAGCAGGGAGTCAGCCAGGCTGGTGTGGCTTGGTGGTTGAGTGTTGACCTATGAACCAGAAGTTGAGGTTTGATTCCTGGTCAGGGCACACGCCCGGGTTGCAGGTTCGATCCTCAGTAGGGAGCATGCTAGAGGCAGTATCTCAGCAATGTTTCTACCTCTCTAGCCCTCTCCTTCCTAGCTCTCTAAAGTCAATTAAAAAATAAAAATGAATAAAATTTAGCCCTGGCCGTTACTCAGTTGGTTACAATGTTGTCCCTATACACCAAGGATGCAGGTTGGATCCCCAGTCAGAGAATATACATGAATTGACCAATGAATGCATAAGTAAGTGGAACAATAAATTAGTATTTCTCTCTCCATTCCTTTCTAAAAATCAATAATAATGTTAAAAAGCTAAAATTTAGTAGTAATTAGAGAAAACTGAAGATACAGAGAATTTTGTTGAAAACCACCAAATCTAAGCATGAGTTTCTGTTCTGTATAAGGTTTGGCTACATAAAACTTATACAAAATGATTAGCTTTAAAAATTCCCCTGTATGCCCTAGCTGGTTTGGCTCAGTGGATAGAGCGTCGGCCTGCAGACTGAGGGGTCTCAGGTTCAATTCCGGTCAAGGGCACATGCCCGGGTTGAGGGCTCGATCCCCAGTAGGGGGCGTGCAGGAGGCAGCCCATCAATGGTTCTCTCTCATCATTGATGTTTCTATCTCTCTCTCCCTCTCCCTTCCTCTGAAAAAAACAACAACAAAACTCCCCTGTAACCTGAAGGGGAACTAGTTTTCAAATATGAAAGGTGCCAGTGCAAAAAAATCTTTAGCACAATTAATAAGTACATATTCACTAACTGAAAGGGGAATTTCACCAAAATTCTTCAAATAAGAGTATACTGAGGCCCTGGCCGGATAGCTGTTGGTTAGAGTGTCACCGATACGCCAAGGTTGTGCGTTCGATTCCTGGTCAGGGAACATACAAGCGCCAAACCGATAAATGCATCTATAAGTGGGACAACAAATCTATGTTTCTCTCTCCCACCACTTCCTGTCTCTCTAAAATCAAGAAATAAAAATTTTAAAAAAGTACTTCTGTGAAGTCACTGTTGTATTTAACTTATGTAGGTACTAGAGTTTTTGTTATACTTGCAAAAGTCACTTTTAAAGTTGCCTTTGTATTGTTAGACTCATCACAAAGGGAAGCTTCTTTGTCTTACAGCTTACATTTACTTCCCAGCATCTATATATTTCTACTTCCTCTCCTTGATGTCTATTTACTATTATCTAAGTAAAATGCAAATGTCTTTAGAATATAAAAATGTTTATGCTTGGCTCAGGTTAAATTTTTTTAAAATATATATTTCTTTATTGATTTCAGAGATGAAGGGAGAGGGAGAGAGACCTAGAAACATCAATGAGAATCATTGATCGGCTGCCTCCTGCACGCCCCCTACTGGGGATCGAGCCTGCAACAGGGGCATGTGCCCTTGACTGGAATCGAACCTGGGACTCTTCAGTCCGCAGACCGACACTCTATTCACTGAGCCAAACCGGCTAGGGCAGATTAAATTTCTTGACATCCACTTTTAGTGTAAAAAGGGCATATTAAAATTTTACACACTTCAGGAAAATTGCAATGTCCTTAAACTCACTTTTTTTTTTTAAATTAAACTCCCATTTAATTGTATTTCCAAACTGGTCAAAATAGTTTTGACATAAGACATATCTGAAATGGATAAAAAAAGAGCCTGACAAGAAATTTTACTATGTTCATTCTTATTTTCTTATATCACCTTGGAAACAAACCACATGTTGTGAGTATAATTTGATGCATTTGTGGTACAGGACTAGACTCTAGTCATACATTAACCAACCCATCCTAGGGTTTTCATGAAGAATCAACATACCAAGTCCAAGTGTATGATAAAACTGATATGTCAAATACATAAGTGCATATTCATTCTAGCAAAGTCAGTCTACTTATTATGCTAGTCTAGTCTCTATTCTCATGAAAATAAGGTTTTTTTTATTTAAATAAGTTTTATTCAGTAAAGTGCTCATGTCAGTTCCTCACCTGTCGTTCACAATAGGCTTTCATTAGTTTACTAAGTGGTGTATGCCTCTTAATCTTAAACTGCACCACAGAACCATCCTGCCCCGCCACCTTCAAATTAATATGATCGTTGTTCTCAGTCTTGACTCCTTCCTGTTGAAAGAAAAATAAAGGTATAATTTGGAAAATGTGAAAAACAAACACCTTTTAAAGCAGCTGCAGCCCAAGTTGCTTCAGAAATCAACAGGTTTCTCATTCTGTATGATAAGAGAGCATACAGCTGTTTTCAGCCGCTGAAATCAATCTGAAAAAATGAGAAACCCTGAGGTGACATTAAATAGCTGTCTGCCACAGAAACAGAAAAGAAGCCTCATGCAATACTATCAGTGGCAACAATCAATTTTTAAGGATGAGTCCCACTCAATTCACTACAGTGCTCTCTTCAATTGCCTAAAATGGTCTATTTGGTCACTTTCAAAATCTATCTTTTCCTTTAAAAAGTTAAAAATGAGCGTCCTTTCCCTTTTCAAAGTACAGATGCAGGGGAACAAACCTCGAGCTTGCAACTCAAAACTCATTACAGTTCTCTTGTTGAAGTTACCGAACTCGATTTTATGACTTAAATCTCAAGTTCCATGAACAAAGCTAATCGAGGAACATCCTGATTCTGAAGCAGCGGCAATAACTCAGAACCACCATTAACGTTCGCCTCTATTTGCAGCTTCATTTTGTTTATTTTTAGTGAAGAGCTTCTTCTCCCCTCCCCTTTGTTGACATGAGTCAAATGAAGTTTATCCCAAGTCTTCCTCGCAGATTTCCACCTAATCTGAAGTTCACCCACATCAAGTGCAGAAAGAACTCTGTGGCCCCTGAATCACTTCAGAGAGGAACGGGGGGGGGGGGGGGTCACAAACCAGACAAACCGAACAGGAGCCCCGTGCGCCAGGTGGACGCGTGCGCCCGGTCCTCACGGGAAGAGCCTCCTTGGTGCCTCAAAACCCGCCTTCGAAAGTTAAGCCCTAGGAAGTCTCTGCACGAACATCGACCCCAACTTCTCGAAACCACATGGTCCCCGCAGGTTAGGGGTCATCTCACACCCAAGGAAAAGCCCCTGCCCATCCCCCCACCCCCACCACTACTACTGGGACCCGAAGCCATTAAAATGGGAAACACTCCCCGGGAATCCCCAGCCCCTCACGACCGCCCGACCGCCATCCGGCTTCCGACCCATCGGCAACCCATTGATTCCTCCCGAGCCCTCACCGGGCCACGGCGGCCCGAGGCACGGTCCCCAAACCCCGCGCTGCTCATCCCTGTGGGGGGAAGTCCCGGTCCCACTAACTCCCCGCCACCGCGGAGGCGGC